TCTGAAAAGTCAGCCGCAACCGAAACAACGAGACCCAGTTACTCTTATGCTATTCCTTACACAAGAAATTTTTTTTCGATAAATGCCCTTCAATCATTGATCAAACTTTGCTCATTATGTGCGAAAAAGTTGCCCCTATAACACTTTACGAAAGCGTTGGCTCTGGCTTGGTCCACCAACCAGACACAATTATTCAAGCATTGGATTTTCTCAAGTAGAAGCTCATTTCCATCGGCGAGACCCAGTTACTCGAAATCTTCCTTCTCTCAAGAGAAGCAAAATTTCCCCGGGTAAACGCTCATCCCTGCATCGAGATCCAGTTACTCAAGCGTTGGAATTCTCTAAGTATAAGCTCATCTCCACCAGCGACAAGCAGTAACCGGAAGCGTTGGATTCCCCAAATAAACGCTTTTCTCTACCATCGAGAGCACTTACTGAAGCGTTTGATTTCCCCAAGTGGAAGCCCATCTCCACGAGTGAGATCGTTACCCGAAGCGCCGCTTTCCTTCACCAGCGAAACTTAGTTACTCAAGCGTTGGCTTTCCCTAAGTAGAAGCTCATCTTTACAGCGAGACCCGGTTACCTAAAGCATCGACGCCGAGTGAAGACCTTCCTCCACCAGCGGGACCTAGCTATTCAAGCGTTCGATTTCGCCAAGTATAAGCTCATCTCCATCAACGAGAACCAGTTACTCGGAATTTTTCCTTTTTTAGAAAAAGCAAAATTTCGAGTAAACGCTCATCCCTGTATAGAGACCTAGTTACTCAAGCGTTAGGTTTTCAAAGTAGAAGCTCATCCTCACAGCGAGACCCAGTTACTCAAGCGTTAGATTTTCCCAAGTGGAAGCTCATCTCCACCAGCCCGGTTACCTAAAGCATCGAATTTCGCCGAGTAAACGCTTTCCTCCACCAGCGAGACCCAGTTATCCAAACCGTTGAATTCCCCAAATAAAAGCTTTGCTCTACCATCGAGAGCACTTACTGCGTTGGATTTCCCCAAGTGGAAGCTCATCTCTACGAGTGAGATCGTTACTCGAAGGGCCGCTTTCCCTTACCAGCAAGACTTAATCACTCAAGCGTTGGATTTCCCTAAGTAGAAGCTCATCTCCACCAGCGAGAAGTTAAATACCTAAAGCGGGATTTTCTCAAGTGAACGCTTATCTCTATTCTTTATTATAAAATGATCAGCGAGACCAATTACCAAGCGTTGAATTTCTACTAAGCAAAAAAGCCTCCACCAACGAAACCCATACTCAAGCGTATCCTTAAGTAAACGTTCGCCTCCACCAGCAAAATCCAATTACTTACGCTTTCCTTTTTATGAACAGGGAGTATCTTCGCAAATATATATCCATGTCCACCAGCATTAGCAGCTACTCGAGCCCTTTCAATTCTGGAAGCGAAAACAAGATTAGTCTGAGATAAAACCTCGCCCCCACCAGCGACACTCAATTACACAAATTAACCTTTCTTCCATCGGATAACATGTTTGATCAAAATTTCCGACATTATCTGCGGTGAGTAGTTATCTAACAAGGGAAGGATACCCACATTGGAATCAGAACGTTGTACGCTTATTCCAAATATGCTGTTCCTAACTGCTTATTCCGAAGCGAGTTATGGGATTGCTGTAGTGAGTATCTGTCAAACTTCCGAATGTCGTAAGACGGCGTGTAGATTAGAATCTGCTCGTAAAAAGTGCTAGGATGTTAAGTTAGCATCAGATTGATTTTTTTCGATCTTGAAAGGGACATTATATAACTGCAAAACCACTTAGACGTCGACAACGTAGCATCATTAGGTCGAGGAGCACGCAAACTTTGCATAGGAATGAGACCATAACTCGCTTTAGAATAACGTTAAGCAGCTAGGAACAGCATATTTGGGATCAACGTCCCAAGCCGATTCCATAGCTGATACATCTCCATCAAATTTGCAGTATTTCTTAAACATGCTCCGAAAAGCATCAGGTTTTGGCTCTACCATGAGAGCCATCTGTGCGATATAGTTTTTGTGCAAGCAGAGAAAAACGAAACAAAAAACGATAAATATTCTTAAACGCACAAAGGCAGAAATACAAACTGGAAATGTTGAAAATTTTTACCACCTGCAAGCAGAAGGTTTTAATAGATGAAACCTACGTAAGACGATGCGGCAACAGCCTTGCACGAGGTGACTTTTCGTGGTAATGGCGACATAGTATATTGAACCTCGACCAGGGGAAACATTTGCCTTTTTTTGGATGTTGCTCAGGATCGCATGTAAAAGCATGTGATTTATGCGAAAACATCGTCTTGAGAGACTGTTGATATGCCACACGTGATGGTATGTTTATGATTCGTGGAATTTGTCCTTATGCGGCACCTATGCGCGAAAAAAACATTCGAGACGGTTCGGTACAAATGAAAACATCATCATCATCATACTCTTTAATAAAGCGCAGGCACCCCCATCTGACGTCAATGTCGGTCTGTTCGTGCCACTTTTGCTTTGTTTACCCTATGCTCTATGGTGCTCTATGTACCCCCCCCCCCCTCACCTGCACTTTAACACTGCCCTTTTTTTTACAAGTGATCTTTGCCATTAGACTGTCTGTCTTCGGTTTTGTTTATCAAGGTTCCTCATCAGCCAAGAGCAGCCAAAAGCCACCACAACACTGTAAACGGTGAGATCGATTAGTCTCATCTCGGGAGGCGTGCAAGTGGTACCCAGGCAGCCGACTGCTGCCACAGCCAGCCGCCAGAGCTGGCGTTAGCGCAGCCGCATACTGTAGGATAATTACGCTAACCGTCTGATACCTCTCCGCCGAGAGGTCTCCTCGCACCTCATCGCGTTGAGGTGCGATATCAGCCTCAGGGATAGCGCGATATCATCAATAATGTTATCAATATCTATATCATTTTAATCAGAAAAGACTGATTGGTTCTTATATATCAATATCTATATCATTTTAAACAGAAAAAAATTCCTAGTTTATTGAGAACCATGCAAACAGTTACAAAACTATATACAAGCGACAAATCTCCAAAATTAAAATAAATATGATAAATTAGGTCAAATGACTGAGCCAGAGTGTGTCAAAAATTGAGTAGGTCACTGATGCTGATATAAAAGACAATAGAGTAGGTCATCAAGAACCAAAATGTCTAATCTATACAGCTTTCAACAAGAGCCTCAGGCTCAACAAGCGTATGTGGAGAATTCATCGCTTGTTCAGGTATTCCATGATTTCTTCATGTATTCCATGAAAAAAATTAATAATCTAGAATTCGTTGCCTCTGCCCTCCCAGTTGTACACTTCAACTAGTGAAGTTCCCCGCGAGTTCCGCGGGGAACTTGAGGTAAGCGAACAAGGAGTTCACCCGGTCATCTTGTATGATATTCCTGGTTCGCGTCTCTGTTACGTCTTCCAATATCATAAGAAATCATCAAGAACGGACACGGCTTTATATAGATGCTATGGATGCAAGAAACAAAACAAAAAATACACATCAGTTGCTGTACGTGAAATTAAAAAAAATAAAAAATCAAAAACCACTTTTTTTAGATTTTTGAGAACTTGTTCGATAAAGATCCATGTCTTCTAAGTCACAACTGCATACCTTTAGATAGACATAAGGACAAAGCTAACCGTGTAGCTTATGAGGTCTTCTTCCTTTCTTTCTTTCTTTTTTTCTTTTTTTTCTTTTTTTATTTCTTTTTGTCTATCTTTTTTGTCTTCATGTCTATACTTCCGCAAATTTTAGAGCTGTCAAAACATAAAAAACGATCCAAAATTGAAAAGAACCACCCCCAATAACCATTTCAACGAGACCGCTTTTCAAATTCTCAAGTCTTCATGGAAAACACCGGAAGCAAGGAAAAAAGTATTGGCCAATTTTGTACAAAAAGGTTACGGTAGCAGAAGAAGCTCATTTACAAGGTGCCTGTTCTTCTTTTCCATTCTTTTCTATTCATAAAAAATTTAGAGCTACATCTTCACGGATTAGACGAGTAGAGATGAACGACGTGCCCGAAGAACTTAGAACTCTACCGACCGAAGAAGATTTTCTTCAGATTCAATTACCGGACCTGCACATTTACTACTCTGACGAAGTTATTGCGGTATTTTTTTATTTTAATTCGAAATTTTAGAAATTAATTTTTTCAAATTTTTAGGCGACTAATGAAATTGGTTTAAAGGCATTAATCGGAGACGGTGTACACAAGCTGAACCCTATCACGATTCAATCAGGAATAGAAAAAGGGCAGCTGTACACCGTTCATGCGATGTGCGGTGGTGGTTTTGAGGTTTGTAGAAATTAAATTAGAAATTAAATTAAAAAAAAGAAATTTTTTAGGTTCCTATTCTGTTTGCAATAACGCGTAAAAAAAACCGCGCGGTCTACAAGAGCGTGTTTGAGTGTCTAAAAGAAAAAGTAGGGGATGGCAATATCAGAATAATTTTAGATTATGAAAAGGTGCGCGAATTCGACCCGATTGATTCCGATATCGATACTGATTCCAGGCTGCCATAAGAGCAATTAGAGAAACTTTCCCAAATGCGCGACTTCAAGGCTGTGCCTTTCATTTGGCACAAGCTTGGAATAGAATGGCTAAGCATTTGGGGTTACGGCAGTTTATAAGAGGGCCAAAGAAAATTAGAGCTGTGGTTAGATGGTGGAATACGGTAAAAGGAGTCGTTTTTTTACCAAAGGATTTAACGAGAAGGGTCCCAGCTCTGATGTTTCCACCAGTTAATAGCAGGAACGCTTCCTACGTGCCTTGTAAGAAATTTCTCGAGTACTTGGAGGAAACATGGTTTCAAGGAGTGTATAAAGACATGTGGTGTAAATTTGACATCGAGGAGCTGCGAACTACAAATGCAGCTGAGGCATTTCATAGGTAAGAATTATTTATAAATTATTTTTTTAAATTTTTTGAAATTTTAATTGAAGTTTTTAGGAAGCTGAGGGGATTACTGGGTCGCAGGACTCATCCCCCATTCGAGGAACTTCTTGAATGTCTTCAAAGAATTACTGTTACCACGCTGGGGACACTTCTGCACGTTCTGGAGGTTGTTTAGTATTAAGCGATACAAATCATGCATAACAGCTTTTATTCAGAACCCTCGAAGCTGCAAACCACTACGTAGAAAGGATTTGTTGCGTCGCGAACGGATAATAAATGCTATGACAGATTTTAGGGAAGAGTATCGTTCTGGCGCATATGTAACTACAGCCTCAATTAATAGTTATTGTATTATGATGTCCAAATTTGTAACAGAAAAAACTATTTAATTTGTTATTTATTCACTTTTGTAATTGTAATTGTTTGCCCAATTTTGAAAAATTGTCGCTTGTATATAGTTTTGTAATTGTTTGCATGGTTCTCAATAAACTAGGAATTTTTTTCTGTTTAAAATGATATAGATATTAATATATAAGAACCAATCAGTCTTTTCTGATTAAAATGATATAGATAATGATAACATTATTGATGATATCGCGCTATCCCTGAGGCTGATTTCGCACCTCAGCGCGACGAGGTGCGAAGAAATCTCTCGTCGAAGAGTTTCAGACGGCTAGCGCAATTATCCTACCGTATGCGGCTGCGTTGACGCCAGCTCTGGCGGCTGGCTGCGGTAGCAGTCGGCTGCCCGGGTACCACTTGCTACGCACCCGTCTCATCTCTGCTTCTACAATACTCGCTTTATTCCAGCTATCAAAGTTGGATTCAATATTCAAGTGCAACGACAGGTAAGGCATATTTCTTTTGTTGATAAACCCATCTCTCACAAGCACATAAGCTATCTTCTATCGCCCTGTGATATCTTCCTTTCGTACTTCATCGTTCCTGTGATTATTTGTGACTTTCACATTGCTCTCAGAGCAATAAAATTCATGCCAGAGCGCACCATACATATGAAATCTCATTTCTATAAGAAATCTTTCATTTGTGTAAATATTGCATCAGATTCGACGCTTCGACAATAGCTTCAAAGTCTTTGCATTGGGAAAAACCAAATGAAATTTTTCTCGAAGACTGAAAATAAAAGTACTACATAAACAATATATTAATGCTGTCTCTTTTGAGAAGACGCCTCAGACAGAAAAGATTTGAGAGGGCGACAGTTGATGCGAATTTTCATGACAAGAGACGATAAAATTCTTTTTCAGATTAGTAGTTTCTTTTGCGAGAATCGAAGAGAAAAATTTTGAGTTTTTTTGTAGGCGACTCCATTTCTGATGTAACCGCACAGAATTCTCTTTTTTCACAAAAAGGACTTTTTTGATTAGATCATTCCACATTTCCAAAACGATCATCTTTTATCCGGTCATATTTTAACGACCTAAAGATTATGATATGTACATTCTGCGCCAACAGGGTTCAAGAATTCAGTCGCGTTAGCTTAACACCATGAAATCGATCGAAAAATGGGTTATTTTAGTTTTCTGGATAAAACGATTCGCAAAATTACTAACTGCTGTCTCACACTATCGGATTGTGTCATCTGAATCTGGATGTTCTTAATGTTCCTGGACACATGAAATTTACAGTTGTTGCACAGTTCCATGAATCAGAAAGGAACGAGTAACCTTTTTTCTACTTCTAATGCGGTTGCAGTGGAAAACTTTTTTTAGATTACTCACAAATTATTTCAAACGTAAAACTGATCGTTTTTTGAGTAGAACATTTCACAGTTATCATTTATTCACTCAAATATCAGTTTCTTATTATATCCGTGAATACCCAAAGATTATGGTGAGAATGTTAGATGAAAAGAGTTTGTCTAAAAAAGCTATCGCTTTAGTGCTCAAACTATTACGATCCGAAACTGTTCATGTGAAAGAAGTTGACGGTGATTTTGAATCTCTGAAAAAAAACGTCCAAGATGACAATTATTGTATTAATGCTCTCGATTTTGGGCACTCATCTGCAATCTAAATGTACGCTGTTTTTTAGCAAAATTTCATAAAATTCACAGTTGCTGAGCGTTTTTTGGAAATCAAAGCTTACGGTTATGATACGATGATGCCATTTCCACTTCCAATGTGTTCTCAAAACCACCTGTTATGATTGCTAGATATCGAAATTGAACCGATTTCCATAGCCTGCCTAGACTATAGACTAGATCTTAACGCTAGACAATGATCGAAATTAGCAGTTTTAGGCAACTTCATTACATGCTCCGTGCCGGACTTTGTCAAGTGTGGTAGAGCAAGGAATTTAAGTCGATACTTTTATAAAGGACATATGGATTCGAATGAGGTTAGTAATGCTGCAGAGTGATTTTAGCTATTATATACTATGTTTTAGGCACTGCAATCATATAAGCAACCAAGCGTCAGCAGTGGCAGACAGTCGGACATGTATAAAACAACCCAATCAAACGTTGTTGAGTGGTCTTCCCACCATTTGGAGTCTCGCGTACGACCACAATCAGAAGAACAGCCAACCTGCTCTCAGCGGCAACCGAATGAAAGTGTTCACGGACCACTGGAGGAAATTGAGGTACTATTATCGTGTGCAGCCTTCTTGAGGACTCTAATAAGGTGTAGATTACGAGGTATTATAGTTGCCGCTTCAACCGTTATCAGGGAGACGTTTGCGGAAGCGGCCACTACTAGACATGGTGAGAATAGTTATTGAGAATGTTTGTTGGTATCTGTAGTAACGAGCCAATGGAGACAGGCCGTAAAAAATAGGTCGATTTCAGGAAGAGCGGCAGCGAAAGAAAGCTGAACAAATGGCATTCAATAGACGTAATGAACCTGAAGATAAGCGTAAGAAGCGGTTAGCGGCCCAGGCCGAAAGATCCAGGTTGAGAAGAATGAAAGAGACCGAAGAGCGGAGACTGGAACGCCTCGCGAATGATACAGAAAGACGTAAATTAAGAAGATCAACCGAAACGGAAGAACAGCGATCATTGCGCTTGCGTTCATTGGCAGATGTTAGGAGAAAACAACGTGCACAAAACAACAACTTGCTCAAACAACATCATAGCAGTCAAGAAGAATTTGGTGCAAACTCAAGAGAAGTTCTGGAAGAAAATGTTATGGTTGGCTTACATTTCCTGGGTTTTTTTTTTCGAAGTAAGGCAATGTTGTCAAGGGCAATCCTTCTGATGTTGCGCGTAATGATGCATTTGTTGCCTTCTCTACCCAAGAAGCAACACCTGAGGTATGATTTATAGCAAGCAGGCACTTGGGAAAGGGAAAGGAGATTTCAGGCTGATCCGCTGCAGCACTCGGGCACCCGTGATGCATTTTCTGGCCAACGATCAATGATAAACTTTAAGGATTTGATAAGCCAGGTACCATTGCTAGCATGACTCCATAACGTTCTCGAGAGGAGCATCAGGAGTAATGCATGGCGTTCCTAAGGGCATAAATGTTCAGAGACTCAATACTTCCGAAGACGAGTTTCAACACAACGCATCTGTACCTTATTTGGATGAGAGTGCTTCCAGACCTTTGCCTTCCACGTCTGCCTACGTACCTTTGAAAGATCTAACAATACAGGTAGATCGAGTAGGAAGCAGAAAATTATCTGTCGTGGACTAAAGGGACTCTAAATTTCAGCCTTTACATGATGAATACGTACTACTCACTCCTGATCCTGCTTTGAGAGTAGTACATTTCAATGGAGCAATTGAGAACAACCTAAATGCTTTGCCTCCTCAAAGCCTACCGCCCTGTAAGCATGGATGAATACGAAATTATGGCGAGCCAAGTTTTATTTTTTTCAGTCAGTCACTCTCATGTGGAACATCACTCAAATATTCCATTCACTGTCTTACCAAGCACATCCACGGAGCTGTCTCCGACCCAGGTATGCTGATTTATGCGCAGTTATAGTGCTCTGTGAAATCAAATTGATAAGTGAAATATTTAGTTGAGTTCTGTACGAAACTCTGTACACCGCCGGCGATCGCCGCGCAATCTTGGTATAGCCTTGACGAATCATGACACGGAAGAGAACTACATGGGATCTATGAACACCAGCTGCAACCGCTGTGGTGCCCTTTTTTTCTCAAGCGAGGCCAAACCTAAAAACGGATGCTTTAATATCTGCTGTAATTTCGGCAACATCTCCTTAGATTTGTTCGAAAATTTCCCGGAACTTCTACGTTCATTCTACACTGGAACGAGCAAACTCTGCACAAATTTTCGCGAGCACATCCGGTCTTATAACAGCGCCCTTGCCATGGCTTCAATGGGTGCTCAAGTAGATACTCCTCGTGGTTCTGGGCCATACTGCTACAGAATTCACGGCCAGATCTATCACTATGTAGGCCCTCTGACGCCACCGGAAGGTGTTCGTCCACAGTTTGGACAGGTGTACATTCTGGACACAGACACCGCAGCAGCGGAAAGAAGTGGGAATCCTGCGAATGCACGTTGTGATGCTACTGTAATGCAGCAGTTGACCTCATGGTTACATGCTAATAACAGTTATGCTGCTTCGCTCAAGATGATGGGAGATGTAGCTGCAGACGAAGAGCGACGCGCCCGTGAAGATGGCAAACAATTACCAACAATTCGCCTTATCTTCGATGATTCTCCTAACCTGGACCGTCGCCGTTATAATGTACCAGCCGCAAACGAAATCGCCGTTGTTTACGTTGGCGAAGATGGTGATGTCCCATCGAAGCGCTCTCTTGCTATTCACCATAGAGGAGGAAACCTGCAGAAAATACCAGACATCGACGGTCGTTGTGACCCACTAACCTACCCTCTGTTATTTCCTAGGGGAGGATTAGGGTGGCATGTCGATTTGACCAAAAATCCAAGCGGTCGTATTCGCACGCGAATAAGTCAACGCGAGTTCTACTCATATTTGCTCGCCATACGCCAATCTTTTAACCCGCTTCACCACGCCGGAAAGCTCATGCAACAATTTGTGGTCGATGCGTACGTCAAAATTGAGCAAAATCGACTTAACTATACGCGTACACACCAGAAAGAGCTGCGAATTGACAGTTATAGGGGACTCGTGGATCATTTGACCAGCGATAACGTGGACGGACCACCAGGACGGCGAGTTATTTTGCCATCATCGTTTCCAGGCAGTCCTCGCGCCATGCTTCAGTCTTACCAAGATGCCATGTCTATAGTTGCAAGGTACGGAAAACCCGACTACTTTCTTACATTTACGTGCAACCCAAAATGGAGAGAGATAACTGAGAACTTACATCCTGGCCAGACCGCTTCTGATCGTCCAGATTTGGTGACACGGGTGTTCAAACGGAAGCTGGACGTCCTTCAAACTCACCTTTTTGAAAAAAACATCTTGGGCTGTGTTGCTGCTTATGTCGGGATCGTAGAATGGCAAAAAAGAGGTCTTCCCCATTGCCATATGCTGCTTATAATGACTGCAGATGCAAAACCGAGGACTTGCGAGGCTGCTGATGCAGCTGTTCAGGCTTACCTTCCAAGTGCATCTGAGAATACCCGTCTTTACAGCATAGTCGCGAGGAACATGATTCATCGAAGATGTGGTATAGACAACCCAACTGCTTCATGCATGGTAAATGGAGTATGCTCTAAGCGATACCCCAAGGATTTCAGAGAAACTACTGACATTGAAGTGGACGGCTATCCCAAGTACAAAAGACCAAATGACGGTTGTAGCATAACGGCTAGAGACCAAACCTTTGACAACAGAGACGTAGTGCCTTATAATCGCTACCTGTTGCTGCTGCTTAATGCACACATAAACTTGGAAATCTGTGGTTATGTGCAAGCAGTCAAGTACTTATACAAGTACGTCTACAAGGGACCAGACAGAGCATCACTGCGACTGCTGCAACAGGATCACCCACAGTGCTCCGACGAGATTCGAGCTCATCTTGATGCTCGCTATGTATGCTCGCCAGAGGCCCTGCACCATATTTTTATGTATGACAGTCAGTTTAAATCCGATACTGTCTATCGTCTGGCCGTTCACCTTCCTGATTTTCAAACGGTGACATTTCAATCAGGTGAAGAACGTGAAGCAGCAATCCGAGAGGCGTCTAGAGATTCTATGTTAACGGCATGGTTCAAACTAAACAACGAGTATGAGGTTTTGGAGAACGAGAGTGGATCATCAAATGCAGGGATTGATCCACGAAATCTTTTCTACCACCAGTTGCCCGAGCATTTCACATTCGTACGAGCAACACGAAAGTGGAAGAGAAGGGGTAGAGGTGATCGCCAAATTGGTCGCATGCATATCGTCCCTCCAACCGAACCTGAAAGGTTTAGCCTACGCATGCTGCTCCTTCATCGAAAAAACATGCGCTCTTTCGAAGATCTCCGAACTGTTGAGGGGTATGCGCACCCAACATTCCTGGATGCTGTTCGTGCTCTGGGTTTACTTCATGACGACTCGCACTATGAAAGCTGCTTAGAAGAAGCTGCTGCATTTCAGATGCTTGCGGAGTTGCGTGCATTATTCAGTTGCTTGCTTGCATTCTGTGAAATCAATGATCCAAGGCATTTATATGACCGTTTCAAAAGCGAGATGGCTGAAGACTTCATCCACAGAGGAGCTACTCCATCTGATGCAGAAGCGCTCGCTTATTTCGATGTTTACGACAGACTGCAAATCATGCGCTACGACCTGGCCGAAACGGTCAAACCACCTGCACAGAATCGGCCAGTGTTGGCAGATCAGACCGATTACTCCTCTCACGAGCAGAAAGGCCGAGCGATGTACCAATGTCTGAATGCTTTACAGAAATCAATAGCAGACAGCATTTTGGCCTCCTTCAACTCCAGTCGGTCCAAGCTTCACTTCGTCGATGGTCCTGGAGGTAGTGGAAAAACTTATCTGTACAATACCGTGTATCACATATTGAAGAGTCAGCACAGGTCTGTCATATGTGTAGCATGGACAGGTGTGGCCGCGAATTTGCTGCCCGAGGGAAGAACAGCTGTCTCTACCTTCAAACTGAATGTGAGAGGAGGAAACCGGGAATGTACCTTACGTCGTGAGGCTAAAGAAGCCACTCCCCTCAAGGAAGCAGATGTCATTATTTGGGATGAAGTGAGCATGGTTCCAAATTACTCCCTTGAGGCAGTCGATCGTCTGTTTCAGGATCTGATGTGCAATGACAAGCCTTTTGGCGGCAAAATAGTTGTCTTAGGTGGTGACTTCCGGCAAGTGCTTCCAATAATAGAGCGCGGTAGTGAAAGCGACATGACTGACGCATGCTTGAAAAACAGTCTTCTTTGGAGATCATTCCGCAAGCATACGCTTTCGACGAACATAAGAGCTGCAGATTCCGGCTCCTCATGGTGTGATTTTTTGCTAAGCGTTGGAAATGGAGAGGCAGAAGAAGATGAAATGGGCCGGATCCAACTTCCCTCTGAAATAGTATCCAACGGTAACCTCATTGATGAGGTTTTCGGCGATTTGCTAACCGACTTCGACACCTTGAGTGAGCGCGCGATACTCGCTCCACGCAATATTGAAGTTGATCGAATTAATGAAGAAGTACTGAGTAAGCTTCCTGGGCAAGTTCATGAGTACAAGAGTGCTGATGATGTGATCAGTGATAATGTGCAAGCAAATGAATACACTCCGGAATTCCTGAACAGTATGACACCGGCTGGACTTCCTCCACACAATCTGAGAATGAAAGAAGGTTCAATAATCATGCTATTGAGAAATCTTAATGTTCGAAATGGGCTATGCAATGGGACGAGGTTAATCGTCACGCACTTCGGACGTTTTATCTTGGGATGTCGGTTCGCATCCGGAGATCGGAAAGGAAAATTTACCTTGATTCCTCGCATAGACAACTATAACGACACAGCAGTTCCTTTCCGACTACGAAGGACGCAATTTCCCGTTCGTTTATCCTTCGCGATGACGATAAATAAGGCTCAAGGACAGAGTTTGACTCGCGTAGGCATCTCCCTTGGAACGGAAGTGTTCTCACATGGACAACTTTATGTTGCACTATCTAGGGCTAGAACAAAGGATGGAGTTAAAGTGCACAAGAAGGAAGAGAGGGTAAAGAACGTAGTGATAAGAGCAGTCCTCAATTAGCAAAAATGGAGGAGAACGGCACACAGCCATGCGAAAGAATGATGACAGCTCACGAAAAAGCTGAGATGGAATCATAGCAAGGAAGCTGAGTCGTAGATTTAGATCAGAACGCATAGTGCTTTTTTGAACTTTTTTCACTTTTCTAAAATTCTTGAAAATAAAATCTCACAATTATTTTCGTTCGCAGCTCAGAGTTATGCGCATAAATAAGCCTATCCTCTCTTTTCATGCCTTTCATGCCTGACGAAATGAAATGAATAACTTCTACTTCACTTGAATTTAGAGTTCAACGCAGCTGACACTTTACATGTCCCCATGTTCAAAGCTCATGTCGTATTTTTAATTTTCGTATAGTTTGAAGTATTAATGCTCATCTCCCTGTTTATTTAGTGCTCAGCGCATACTGTTCTGCACATGAATTTTGATTTGTGATTTTTGAACTTCATTTGAATCTAAAATTTATCAACGTCGATCGCATTCGTTGCTACAGTTCAATTTTACTTTTTTCTAATGTGGTAGCTTTTAAGAGGCGCGCGTATAAGGCTAAAGCCATTTTAATTTCACCATTCAAGTTTGAACGATCGCGTCGTACTTTGGTTAGGAGTTGGTGAACACAAAACTTCAGAAATTCTAAACACATCCCATTTTACACAGACACAGCCAGTCCAAAGCGCCGCGAAGCGGCGCTTTGGACTGGTTCTATATATAAAGCGCAAGCACCCCCATCTGACGTCGTCAGTCGCGGCAGAGGTGTAAACATGTATGTCGTTTTGTGCCGGTGCGAGCGTACCGAGCCGATAACTCACAATGGTAGTGATGCCTGTCTTGGACGATGTTGATCAAATGGCATAACCCAAAGAGCGATCACAATGGTAGTGATGCCTGTCTTAGACGATGTTGATCAAATGGCATAACCCAAAGAGCGATCACAATGGTAGTGATGCCTGTCTTAGACGATGTTGATCAAATGGCATAACCCAAAGAGCGATCACAATGATAGTGATGCCTGTCTTAGACAATGTTGATCAAATGGCATAACCCAAAGAGTGATCACAATGGTAGTGATGCCTGTCTTAGCTCAAATTAACTATTCAAAACCTTGGTTCTTTGGGAATGGTTTATGCAATTTTAAGACGCAATTCATTAAATTAATAGTTAAATACGAACGATGGGAGTAAAGTATTTTGATTAATTGGTTGCATTTTACTTCGTTAATAGTAATCCATACTATTATATAAAGCGCTAACATCCACCATGTGAGTCAGCATAGATGTCTATTAAATATCCGGCGTTGTCTACCACCAATGGGAACGCGCCCGGCAGCCAAGATGGGTCGCGCTGATGACGTCATATCATACAGTGCTGCCTCCATATGTTTTCGGTTATGCTCTTCAGCAATGTTTATGAGTTGGCACCAAAGCAGCGAAATTAACACCACGGGAACTGTCAGCGGCTAAACTGATTAAGCTGTCCCACTGACTGTAATAGCTTCATTTCGAAAATCATCGAAAGTTGGTTAAATCGTTTGTACATTATCTCACCACCATTATCTTCTTTTTTGGCATCTCGCTTTTCTATTTCTACTATGAAGCGTTTAATTTGGAGTGCAGCATAAGTTTTTCAAAAAAGTTGGGTATTTTAGCAAAATACTGCATCCTTCCATAATTCATTTTTCGAGTGCTTAGTATGTTTCCTCACCGTAAAACAGTTGCGCCAAATCTTCAATTAATCTGTCCTTTCAATTTTTGTGCTAACATATCTCAGCAGGGAAGTTGAAGTTCTCCATGAAATGCTTAGCGTTTAGTTATTATTTTAGACAAACTGCACTAAATCTGTTTGTGGAGGTTTCTCGCAAAATTTACTTTGGACATCTCTGCCTACGATTTTTTTGAATGAGCATTTCGTTTGAAGTGTCAACAGCAAAGGCAATTCCTTAGTTTCTTCTCAATTCACATGCAAAGATGTTTGTTGAAGTTGATGAACTTTGGAAATCTTTGACTCCATCGAGTTGACATCTCATTACTGTGTAAACCTTTTCGATAGTTGCCAAGATTTGTACGAAACACTATCTTTAAACGAATTCAGCGTGGTCATGCGAACTGTCTTGAAAGTCGATGAAAGCTGGATGCAAAAATCTTCTTCAGCTAGGAAAAATATAAAAGAAACCATTTTCAAATTCCCGAGATTTCCTTCAAACATTAAAAATTCGAAGAGTAAAGTAGAATAATATCAACGCGATCTTGATTGATTTTATTAGGACTAAATACTGTATGAATCTGCCGTTTATATCAGCTACGAATTAGAGACAAGGTGGCATGCACGTTGACTTTACATAAACTAAAGCTTTACTAACCTATGCGCAGCTTTGCCAAAATACTGCACAACCTCAAAACTGCTTAAGGAAGAGAGGTCTGCTTAGGTGAACAGCTTGAAGCATGAACACCTTTATGTAGGTCCCTTCAAGAATTTGAGTTTGCTCAACAAGATAACCTGAAAATTGAGTGTATTTTGGAGCCTACGGATGAATTCCAAGAATGCTGGACAGTTTGATAACTTCATAAAACGTGAACGAGAGTTTTGATAGTGCAATTTTTTGAAGTGGAAGAGGAAGTATGACGCTTTCAAGAAAGGATACTTTGTGAAAAGAAAGAGGGAGTGTTCGAATTTGGGAAGCTCTAGATTTGGTAGTTTTAATATTGGCTACATATTTACAAGAATATCACGAATTTTCTTGCTAATAGCTTCGGGAAGCGATAAAAATAGTCTGATTAGAGCGGTGGAGATTCTAAGGCAGTTTGGAGGGTCGCCGCTTAATGTGGGAAACAGGGCCCCGGGTGGGAAGAGCACGTGGTTGGGATTACTTTGTCGGGTCTGGGATGGGCCCAATCACAAAAATTTTTTTACGTTACGTTTTCTTTACGTGTGAAAGTTTGGGAGCATACAAAAGTCTTCGCAGGCTACGAATCTTCAAAAGTTTTGACTTTCAGTCACATTCCCGCTTCACACGCACAGCCAGTCCAAAGCGCCGCGAAGCGGCGCTTTGGACTGGTCTCTCATATTGGAATACACAAGGGGCGTGTCCTCATCTCGTCTGGCTTCTCCTCGTCTACCATCTGCTATCGTTTAGGGAAAGTGCACGAATTCATGCTTTTATACGTAGTGACGTAGTGATTCGATAGTCGAGTATTCGAAAAAAATTTCGAATTTCCCTAAGTATAGTACGACCGTTCGTCCGCGCTCGCGCTCGTGTTCGCTCCAATGACTTGGTCGTCGTCCGGCAGTCGAATTCACCCCAGTGCAATTAAAAAGCATTCAGAATTGCAAGTCTAACTGTTCATGATCTGTGTGGATGAAGATTTCTCGATTTGATACAGCATTGTATGACTGAGGACCAGTGGTGAAACACAAATTTTTTTTTGTTCTTACGCACCACTGTATTTGTGCATTCGCAGCGCTGTACCTCCGCTGGATTCTGCTGTATATCTGCTTTGCAAAAATGAACTCTGAACAATCGATTTATGTTCAATGAAAAACATTGAAGATGATATGTTAGACATTCAAGCGAAATAAGAGTTATTTGCTGCTCTTAAACAGGAGTTTACAGTCTGTGAATGTTAAATAAATGAAAATATATTGCTATTACGGCGGATATACAGACAATCGCACGACTGATCCCAAAAAATCACCATGATGGAGAAAAATGAAAGACAGTGTGCGCCCGTATGCGCAGTCATCATTACGCTGCACTCACTGTTGAAGGAGAACAGGAACAATAGGGAAAAGGAAGAATATCACAATCAAAACCACTGGAAAGACTGTGGATTAGAAAGACGAAGGCTAGCAACACAGAAGCTGAGTAGTACAACGTATGATAACAAAATCAATGTGGTACGAGAAGTTTCTTTACGCCAGCTACAGTGCCATATTTAAGCACTGGATGAAGCCCTTTCGTGTCATTTATACAGGATCTTAGTTGGAAAAAAGGGCTAACGTTTGTCGTTTCGTAGCACCCACACCATGCCTCGTTAAAAGGCACAAAGACTGAGAAACCGGGATTGAGGATATAACTTGCTTCGCTATTTCAGTTTTCTTCCATTGTAGAAAAAGCAGATGTAAATCGCAAGCTATACGTATTAGGTTATTAACACTTCTCATCAATCAGAGCTGAGGACTCGAAAGAAAGTTTTAGCGTCCTTCCATTTGTCATTAAGACAGAAGATATATACAATATAGTCTACTGCCGTACTCCTAAAGAGGGCGCCATTGCTCGCTTCTGTCGTAGTCTGAACAAGGGCACCTTCATTATTTCATCATTTCTCGTGTACTCGTGAAATTCTTCAGAAAAACGCAACGAATCAAGTCGTTATGGCCCTATAAATCGCTCTTATTTTGGAGTTCGCGGCTATGACACGACAAATCTTGCGAGGTATTTCCACTCAAAGCGGAATTCTATTTACGACGTGGGTGGCGGTGGATGCGCTTCGGAACGTTAAGTTCACTCCAGTCTTCTGATGATAAAGCTTTCTGAAGTAAATTTGGTGATTTTGACTGGAGTGAGTGATGTTGCCAACACAGAAAGTGGCTACAGTAACGTTGATTGGTTTGTCAGGCAACCAGCAGAGTTTGTGGCGTCTTTCGAAAATGTCCTTTTAAGGGTGGAAGCGTATTTCACCTCCAGCACAAAAAATCCTTCTCATACTACATTTTCATAAGGGTTAACCGAACGGAACACTGGTGCCACAACATTTTACCATATTCAAGAAGGGTGAGCAGAGCAAGAAGACAGCATGCCTTATCAGGAAGGAAGAAGCTCACGTATCGGCAATTTGTCCAAAATAGAGGAGAAAAACAAACTCATTTAATCAAGCTGGCATCATATGCTCATCCTGTCCTGCAAATCGATGTGGATTCTTGCAAATCAAAAATGGAACGTAGAACATTTTTGAGTGCAAGAGGACCGATGAAGCATTGTGAAGCATAGGCAGCCTGAAATCCAAGCAGTTCATGCTCCAGTAAACAATTAGTATATTTGCGAAATCAGGAAGAAGCAGAAAACTTGCCATGTGAGAATATCGCTCAAACGCGCCGCCTCTTCATTTTGAATGAGATGGATTTGTAGAGCTTTGACGAATTGATCTTGAATAAGCGTGACCTTCTGTAGAAATTGCGGTTTGTCCAAATGATTGCTATTACTCCACTCTGAAAACAATGTGCTTTTGAGTTGAACAACTTCAGTGTGCAGCGGACCTGGGTTCCTATTGTAGTGAAAAAGCGTGATTGCCTTGATACAAACATACGCCTCCGTAGTTATCCTCATTTTCGAAAACGAATAAAGCAGGGTGGTGAACTTCTCAACGAGTGGACCGGCTTCCCTGGAATAAGTCCAGCCTTTAAGTTCCATTTATTGCATTTGTTGAGACAATTTCATGATACAGCTCATCCGAGATTACCCACGACTGCCATATTTTGAAGAAGTATGACATTCGTTTAGAAGCGCTTTTACGAATACGGAAAGGGCTTTGGCTTGTACCGGCTATGCCTATGTCAAACTTGTATTATAATGACAGCAATTTGTTGTGGAAATTGCGACGAGTGAAATCAAGTATTCATATTCGGCGAAATGGGACTTCTGATGCATTACCAGTGGTTAGAGTTTCAAGTTTTTGCCCGGTCCACACAAACTTCGTTGCGCAATAAAGCTTTTCGAACTCGCGCATAATTATGCGGACTCACTTGATTACATGTTCGAGCGGTATCGGTTTTCCCATCACAGCTGATAGACGTTTTTGAAGAAGACGAATGTTGGCAGCAGAATCCAAGAACGAGACCTGGGGGAAGTGGTGACGTAATTAGTCGAATTGAATTGAAAACATGGTGCAAGACCTCTTCGTCACCATCGGCCATTGTGGTGGACACGACAGCATCATCGGCAACTTGTGTGGCGTTGGAACATGAATAAAAACAAGCTGACAACAGCACCTGAAAATGGGCAGACTGAAAGAGCTGTTATCTTTGTTCGCTTGACACCCACCAATTCGGCCCATCGCTGGGTCAAAAGATGGGTGTGCACTTCTACCGGTAGCTCGCCATAGAAGGGTAACATCTTTGTCCACTCCACTAACTGTTCAACGATTTCGTCTCCTGAGCGTTTGTTAATCAATTAAGCCCAATAAAAAAGGCTAGAAAATTTGGTAGACCGATTCGACTGAGACGCTGGCACGCGGGAGCTAATTCTTCGCAGCTGTCTTTTATCGGAAGAATTCTCAAGCCTCGCAGATCGATGAGCTTTTCGATTTGATCAATCTCAATCAGCTCCTGAAAAGAGAAGTCATACGGCGTTTTCGTTCGTAAGAGGGGAATACAGCGTTTCTTCATAAAGAATGTATCCGTGCAGTATGTGAATGTATTCAACAAATTTCTGACGTGCTGCACATGGTGCATCACTCGGATCTGAGACGTTTTATTGGATAGTACTGCAAGATCTGTCACAGTTCAAAAAGTGATGCTAGAGGTGTGGCTACATACTTTTGAGACCACTTTGTAGATCTTTGACGCCGGAGTGGTTCACGGTACGCAAGAGCAGACTGGATGATGCAAATCTGATGTGACGAGGAGAGCGTTGAGTGCAAGGTCGCAAGTTTCAATTTCTTCTAGCAAGGGAATACCAGTGCCTTCGGTAGCTATGTGTACTACGCGTTTGTAAACATATGTAGATAACAGTGGCAGTGCCTGAATTTCCGTTCGAGGGAGGGGGGATGGCGCGGCAAAAGGTTTTCTCACAAACAAGGTGCGTGGCGTTAGCCACGCACTCCGAAAAATTTTTTCGGGTGCTTCTCAAAATTTTTGCCGGCCCATAACACCTAAAATTTAGAAAAAGGGTGCGTGCAGGTAGCCAAGCTCCCGAAAAAAATTTATAGGACCATTTTGGATTTTTAAAAATTTAAATCATTTTAATTATCTACTAAAATAAACAAGTTGCTTGCACATTTTTGTAACCCATGTCAGTAAATTTCAATTTCATTACCCATTCTCGGGGGACATAACCTGATTAAAATAACGCTATTTCCTATTTATACAATCCAAGAATTGAAAATTACGGATTTTGCTGAAAATTCGCCCAGGGGGAGGGGAGAGGGTTGTTTGACCTGCTATTCACGAAGATTATTTTGCATAGTAAGCTTTTTTGAGGGGTTACGGCAGGCATACGGTATAAGGTCTCTCAGAATTCGCTGGAATTACAGAGAGGGATTATTCGACATGCTGATCAGTGCCATATCCATTCCCATGAAAGCGCTCTATGGCAGGATTACGGTAGGATTGAGGTGTGGGGTTAGGATCCCAGTATTTGCTAAAACCTTGCATAAGGGAGAGGGGGAGGGGGTTATTCAACATGCTGATCACGAAATACCACACTTTTTCGGCACGAAAGGTTCATCTTGTATGGTTACGGTAGGTGTAGGGTAGGGGTCAAAATCCAAATTTGCCTGGAATTTGGTCTGAAGGAGTTAAATGACATGCTGACGACGAATATCATAACCTTCTGGCTGGAACGTTTTTGTAATGTTACGGTAGATACATGGCAGTGGCGTACCGAGAGGAGGTGGGCACCCTCCTCTCCCTCTAATGGGTCGCGAAATTTTTTACTCACAAGAGTTATGGAAATATGCTTTTTTACTCACAAGAGTTATGGAAATATGCAAGTGAACTCATGCTTGTGAATAATGAGATAGTTTTTGAATCCTTTGAAAATTATTTGAAAAAATTTTCGGTTGCGTGGCTAGCGCCACACCCCCTTTTTCTGAAATTTCGGGGTTAAGGGCCCGCAAAAATTTGCCGACGCATACCAAGAATGTATTTGGAGCTCCTGGCTAGCGCCACGCACCTTCATCATAAAAAAATTTTTGATGCGCCCCCTCCCCCGAACGGAAATTGGATACGCCACTGATACATGGTAAGGGGTTAAAATTGTAGATTTGCTTAAGACATTGCGCATGAGTGCTATCTGCTGATGTGCTAATCACAAATATTGCGTTCATTTCGCATGATAGAGCCTTTTCGTGGATTTTTGGGATCTAAATTGGCCCGAAGCGAGGAAGATGCTTACTTATACGCTACAGATTCCCATATCTTTACAATAAAGCGTTGTTGCAGCGAGCAAGCATGAATTCGTGATCAGCATGCTTAAAAACCCCTCTAGGCAACGTTTTGGGCAATTGGAATTTTTACTACCGTATGCCACTCGTAGCTCGAGAAAATGGCGTTACCGTACAAAATCGATATGACATCCATGTTCAGCGTTCTCAATAACCCCTCTAGACCAGCCATATCTAGATCAATCTCTTTGAAGCCCTACCGTACACCTACCATAACCATACATGAAAAGTTTTCGTGTAGAAAAGGCGTGATCTTCGTAGCCAGTATGCAAAATAACACCCCTCAAAGTTTCAGCGAGAAGTGAGAATTTGACCATCATACTGTATGCCTGCCATAATCGCCCGAGAAAAGCCCTCCGATGCGAAATTAATGTCATTTTCGTGATCAGCAGAATAACCCCCCTAGGCGAATTTTTAGCGAAATCCGCGATTTTGAGTGGTTTGTACAAGGTGGAATAGCGCCTTCATTTTACTATTAAAACTTCGACATAAAGTTTAATCGGCACTAGAACAAAACGCATTATCATACCTGTATAAGATTCTTGTTTTTCGTTCGAGGGCATTCATCGTAATCTGTCAATCGTCCTTCATCCGCAGTATTCTTGTATATCGATACACTATCACGTAATGGAGGCCGATGCCGTGCTTTCCGACATCTCAGCTAAATATTTCTTAGTGAGTCAGAACCATCTGCGTTACTCTGGAGAGAAACCTTGTATAGGTTGTACACAGTGCTTCCATTTCTCCCACCAGGCATGCGATCTTCGCGAACAGCTAAAAAGACAGAACTTCAGTTGTGCACGCCATGTTACTTTTTAGAACATTAACAAGCTCTGTGCTATGTTTATCCAACACTGGCGCCCACAAAAATGCATCCCTCGGGATCTCTCGTAAACTTCCCCAGTTTCTTGACTGTACCATTGCAGCAGAGAAAAGCGTTGATTTCTCATACTTTTTCAAGGCTTTGCTCAGCTTCATCAAGTTTGCTCAATCAGCGCGCGCTCTAAAGTCTGCCGACGAAGTCAATCGGCCTGGGATGCGAACGCAACGAACGTTCTCGCGCCGCGTTCGCGCCAGTTCTTCACCTAGGCGAATGCCTTCGTCTGGCAGTGACCTTATTGTCGCCGCTAGCATCTAATAATTGACTTGAGGCTGCTTACTTAAGTTATTGATGATTCTGAGATTTGAACTGGACAAATGCCGTGCAAAAAGATGTGTTGGTCAATCTCCTACCAATGTTATGATGTGCTAATAAACTTTTGTAGGTTTTCCACGTGTGAGGTGGGAAGTCAAAAAATTTTAGTGCATCCCATTGAATGTCGTAGAAGTACTAAATTACGCGGACTGAATACACGAAAAGAAATTGATCCTGAATAGTCAACTAATAGGACATAAATGCAAGCAAATGAAATAATGAAAAGTGAAATGTATCAAAGTGAGGAAACAGAGCCAAAACGAAAGACATGCAGCATTTTTCGAGGCTCCGAAATCCGAGACTTTGAGGAGAAAGCGATAATGAAGCAGTCCAGAACATAAAGGAAACACATCAAACTCGCTGAATTGTTGGTAAAGGTAACAGGTCATTAGCTGTTTCTGCCTGATATGTTTGGATCAAATTGAGAACGGCGAAATCCGAATTTCACCGACCTTCGGATATTGCATAGATTTTAAGGATTTCGTTATTAGCTCTCACCGTATTTTATGTAGAGCCAAAATTGAGTATGCCATCCTCGGAAGGACAAAAGAAGTTATAAGAAAAATTGCGAAGATTGCCAAACTGATATTCATTCGCATGCTAGGAAAGCCCCTTATCATTTCAAATTCTGGCTGTACTTACGTGATCATACAAAATAGCTAGCGTTATAATAAAGTTGTCACGATGCTCTTATGTACAGTGTTTTTTGTAAGATTTTGCTTGGTCTAGAGAAATGGACTCTTATTTATTGTGTACTAGATGGCTTACCCGGCTCCGCCCGGCCCTGTCATTATTTTATTCGTAATCAGCATGCTCGATTACCCTCCCCCCCCCTGTACCAACTCCCAGCCCCGTAGCTCGAATTTTGCAAAAAATCGATAAAATCGATACCGATCGATGACGAAAAGTAGCCTATGACACCCGCCGGGGCCCGAAGTGCATGTGTGCCAAGTTTGGTTCGGATCGGTTCAGAAATGGAATTTTCTATTCGGAACATACGTACAGGCAGACATACAGACAGACAGACATACAGACAGACATACAGACAAACAGACATTCAGCTTTATATATAAGATATAGAAGGATTTTCACGCCTTGACGCTTCTAAATTTACTTTTGTGGAACGTTCTAAAAAATAACCTTCCAAAACCATTCCTCGCTGGAGACATTTTTGAAATCGGCAGAATTGACACCTGTAAACAACAGAATGATATGAGTAATGGAGCAGAGGAATGAATGTCTTTAAAGGCAGTGTCCGGGCAAAATGGGGGTTCTGAGATTTCTCTGCCATGTGAAAGTAGCCCCCCTGAGACACAACATCGCGCAACTGCGAGCATAAAACGTTCGACCTAAAGCAAGAAAAACGATTGCAAATTTGGGAAACTTACGCCTTGGGGCGGGGTCCTCCGAGTTGTTTGAATTCCTGCCAGAAGGCAGAGTACGTATGCCGCCATAGTTAAAAACCGTGCGCTCTTTGCAACCTCTGCGTCTTAGCCTGGCGGGGATCCCCAAATTTCGAAATGTGAGGACTTGGAAAATGCATGTTCTCGCCGTTTTCGCGCCTTCTGATGTGGATTTTCGGATTCAGCGTTGCGGATAACCCCAGATAAGTTGATTTTTTAAAAGTCGAGTTTCTGCCCGGACACTGCCTTTAAGCAGATCCACGGAGTATGAGAGCAATCTTTTGGCGGTTCACCACCTACCTATTTCTATGTTCTTTTGTCATAGGACATGCTCCATCTGCACCAACGCAAGAGTATATGCGTTTATTTTGCACAGTTCTTTTGAAGAAGCCCTTGCATCTAAAAAACACGTATCTGTAGATAAAAGGCACCTGAGTGCAGTGATGATTCGTCAACAGAGAATGAAGACAAAAGGAATAAAGCATGCATATAATGTACATCATATACTATATTTTAAAATATCCAATCATATTCAGTATCGTTGTAGTGTTACCAATACATATGAACGTTAGACCTCTACAGAATACTCTTTCTCTAAATCTGAGCGTTGATCACCTTCTAGAAACTTGAATGAAGCTCAGAATGCTAATCTTAAATCTGCCTTGCTTGCCTGCAAGTCCGAAGAAAGTTGAAAGACTATTTATTACTAACATCGATATTCCAGCATAAACTAACATTAAAATACTAACATAAGTAACATATGAATTAATAGATGTCTACGAACTCTTATGCGGTGAACCCCTTGATTAGATCGGAAAACATGCGATTACTTATAGAAAAGGACTCGTAACAGATTTCAATGATTTTCTATTAGGTTGTGTAATAAGTTCTGTCCCATTTTTTTTATTTCGTTTTTTCTCTTTAGTCTGCGGTGCGATTGATAAACTATGCATATGCATCAGAATCTCAATCTTCTCTACTTATTTTTCTACCCCGTTTGTCCGATCTGAGAAAATCCTGAAAAATTTTTGTCTCCAAAACGGAAAATCCAAAGAGGCAAAAAAAAATCCATTTTCGACACTTTGTAATCGCAGTGGATTCATAACATTTTTCACAAGAATGTGAATAAGAAAAAGCAATTTGGAATTAGCATTCCAGGCTCTCTCCAACACTATGTATTGAATGGACACTGCTCTTATAATATCAAACTAAACCAGTTTCTTTAGACCTAGTAGAGAATGAATGACGAAAATGAGAACATAAGCTTTATTCTTCGTGTCTTTTGCATGTGAAATTTCAAGTTTATAAATGCAAACCTTATTGCGTTTGTTTTGACCATTCTTTGCTTTATTAAAAAATGTGATCGTACAATACAGGAGCTGTGTTGCTGTCGGGGAGCGAATACGACATTATTTGTAAGATTGGAGAAGCCTAGTGTCAAATGACGCTATCTATCAAGTAATTAAGAGAAACACTGCCCTATCAAGTAATGGGCAGCTGTAGGGAAACAAACAAGACTGATTGCACAATTAATGTTCATAAATTTTGACGAAGCAGATTCACTGATGTGCTTCTTGACATAAACGTGCTTCGCAGACCTACCCCTCACATGTGTAAATCCCATAGTGCATTCCCGACGAGCGGTCGTTACAAATTCCACAAACGCTCGGTGACTCGACATAGCTTGGAAACTGAGTCAGCTAGATGAACGATAAATTAAAAAGCGTGATCAAAGGTGGAGTGGCTCTTGCCTTTCTGTGTACAGACGGGGTATTCTCGACCGGATCAGTCACATCAATATCTTCAGATTCCAGCGATGGCTGAAAAAAAATTTATAACAAATTCATAAAATGTCTCTAACCGAATCTTACCAACTCAACTCCATCTCGTGAGTCTGTGTAGTGCGACAACCATGATTCGTCTGGAGAGGAGTCGTTTGTCAGACGTGAATTGAGAAGTGGGAAGAAAGCGCTGGTGGAGGTATCTGGGCTGCAGATGGTGCATATTAAGGGGAAGACAGCCAAGCAGTTTTTGAGTGATATTGAAGCATTACCTGCTGCTGCTCCTCTGCTCGGAAGAATTGAGCAAGTGAGAGCAGGCTGGACCCGCAGACGCGTTGCTAAGGGATAAAGCGTAGGGAGTCGTGGAGCCAAGTTGAGAGAGGTAAAGCTAGAGTGATTGTGAGCTAGAGGGGCATCAGAACGGACGGAATGAACAAGTACACTACATTAGCACGATAATACCTGATAAAGAGTAATTCCATCAGTGAACGAGTAAGGTCGGATTGGCTTCGGTTCAATAATTAGCTGGCGTGAATTTTCGGCAGACTGTGGACATACCATACCAGTTTGTGTAGCTCTGAGTGTCTGATGGAGCATACAACTCTGAACTGCGTTAATTGCGTTTATGAATACGAATGAAGTGAAAATGTCTAAATTCACGATAAAACCTACAAGTTGCAGCATAACCGAAAGAAAGCATCAAAGCTATAAGGCTTCCCGTCTCAAAGTCAAGATTTGTACTAATTTTTTCCCAAACGAACTTAGAATATGTTGAGTGTATATGCAGTGGCTTACGCTACACGTGGTCTCCCAGTGCCCCCACGAAAACAAAAATTCTGAGAAAAAAGAGGATGCTTGTCTCGTACAGAAAGGTCAATAATGAGCTGTGCAATTGCCATTTACAAATGTGAATGGGGCTGGATCTTTGTGATTAACACTTATAATAACATACGTTCTTGATCACATTGAACTAGGTTTTCCACACGTTTTCAAAAATTCGCAGTAATGAGCAACAATTTTACAAATCTATTTGACATGTGTGATTACCATCATCATTTGTGAGTCTATCACTAGTGAATGTAATATCATGGTTATAGCATAAAATCAAGCATGATTTCATTTTTGGATAAAGTCCGAGAAAGGAGATACATGAACCAAAATAACATCGCAATTTTAGATCTATTTCATGTCTCCTAAGCAGTCCATAGTCGCAAATAATTGAACTGCCATCATCAATAGAATTTCGCTCGCATATAGGAAAGTGTTCTTAAGAATTATACTTGATTTCATAAAATTAATTCGAAAACCGAAAATGCCGACATAGTTCAGTCCAAAAATTTCCCAATATTGTATTTGAAGACAGCTGAGACTGACACTGCACGGACAAGTTCCTGAATGATTGGCTATGTCAAAGGACGACGTAGTTCGGTGCTAGAAAAGTTAGTAGGGTCTAATCGACCATTCGGTAACGTTTACCGGCGAATGTGGGTGACAACGTTTTGTAGGTCAGGCCTTGAAATTACAGAAGGGACCGCGCGATCGAATGCTCTCCGGCCGCGACTCTCCTGAAAACCATCGTATCTCGCCAATTGGAAATAAGGGCACAAGGTCGTCGAAGATCGACATGAATCAGCGCCAAATGCTGACCGTTCCATGAGCACCGATCCCGTGAGGAAAGCAAGGCTTCTCACAGCGTGGTACCATGTACAGAACCAAATAAAGCCAAGGATCTAACTGGATTACAAGACGGCACATCCCCGACACCTACGGCTTCAAAAGAATGCATTTGCATACTCTCATGGATATCATTACATATCATTACCAATTCATCTAAGTGGGATACGTCCTCAAACCAGCAGTCCCATTCAGAAGCAGATTTAGATCCACCTTCTTTGTTTTAGTCTTTAGCCGCTCAGTTCTATGCGCCTAGACATGCTTTCCACCTCATAACATGGAGACCCTCGAAACTGTTTTCGATTCGTTACGTGTTTCTACTGCGACCTTGTTTCCGAATCTTCCCTTCCTCAAAAGAAACTAGAAAAATGCCTTGTCAGGGTCATCATGCCCCACATTTTCGAACTATGTCATTTCGCCATGCAAATCACACAAAACACATAAATTACATGAGCGTTGCCCAAGAGACCGTACTATGCAGCGCAATTCGAGAATTACCCCCCGCCTGGTGGCCTGAATCTGCGAAGCGAGGTCTATGTCAAGTTCTAGGTTACACGGTGAAGATTGAGGGCATTAGTGAAGGTCGGCATAGTAAATATAGTTCAGATGCGTAAATTATAGGGAAGAGAATTTGAGGTACCCTATCATTGTTGGCAAGTAGTATCAAACGCAGTGAGAAAATTACTGCAGATTGAAAACCATCGCTTCCAGTAAGTAATCGTACCTGATTTGTGATTACATCAAAAAGGTATTATTTTTATAGTAGCCTAAATACATATGTATGCCAGTGGCGTACGAGGGGGGGGGGGGAAGTGGGGGCGCCACCCTCCCCCTTCCGAAATGATAGCGAAATTTTTAAAATTCTTACGTGGGTTATAAAAATGTGGAGGCGACTTGTTTACACTTGTAGATAATTAATATTATTTTCAAAAGATTTTCAAAATTCAATTTAGCCTTATAAAGAAATTTTTTCGGGGGCGTGGCTGCCGGGATCGTGGGCGCGCAAAAAATTCAGAAAGCATACCAAAAAAAGAGATGTGGTATGTTGTATACATGTTGCAGTAAAAATTATGTATGTTTGTAATGATACTCAATGATACTCAAGTCTCTGCATTAGGCCTAAGGCATACCTCGCGCGATTCGGCCAAATCGCGACGTTCACGCGACCTGGCAGTTTGCCAAATGTTTCCAGATTTATCGTGCGCGGTCCTCCAATACATGGGTGCGTAGCTTTTGTAATTTGTTGCGAACTGATCAAGTCCTGCCTTAACAAAGCGCTCCAACGACCAATTATGAACAGTTGTTCTGGTGACAAATCGCGCAGCGACTGGAATCGCGTGAAGTATGCCTTAGGCCTTATGCCACATCTCTTTGTAGATAAGTGCTTTGTAGAGGAACCTTAACTCGAAATTTTCAGTTAAAGTCGATTTTGGAAGATAGCTGGGCGTTAAATCAAACAAGGATATACTATTGTGAGCTTAGCCAGTAGTACAAATTTTATCACTTTGGCACCACTCAGATAATCGCCGGGGGCAGGCGTTCCACAAAATCGCGCTTTTCTGCAGGCGGTCAGCAGAATTTTGGGGCGTGGCCAAACCTTCAGCGGGCGGCACTTCCTTTACAGTCGCATATTCTGCCAGCGGGCAGCAATACAGAGTTTTCTGCGGGCGCTCGTCAAATAATTTCTTTCAGCGAGCGCTGGCCAAACTTTTCAATGCATTGAGACTCGTCTATTCAGATGGTGGAAAGAATTGTGGGGAGTTTGAAAGTGGTGTACAGCTCTACTGCAGCGCAAACTGTCCAAATCAAACGGGTCTTGATGATTAGAAGGGGAGTGAAACTGCTCTCCGGTTGGGTGAAAAGATTTATTGGGAAAATCAGAATTGAATGAAACAATAAAGTCAATAGAATGCAGCGTCGTGATGCAAACGAGGTCGTTCATGTAAATTGGGCAGACAGGCATTTCTTTTATTCACTTGAATAGGTAAAATTGAATGCGTTCTTACCATCTACTTTGTGTTTAATATGTTTGAAAAAAAGGGGACCGTATTCTCGTGCCAGAGCTCACTCTATAAATGTTTATAATTCCTGTATTTATATGGAGCCTGCAAGATTCCTCAAACATATCCATCTTACCAGGAAGGTAGTAAAGGCTTGATCAGGACCCGACTGCAATTCTGCTGTGCAGTCCCAGGTCTGTCCACATCGAAGAAGAAATAAAAATAAAATAAGCGAACCAACCCAGGTGTGTCCACTTTGACGAAAAAATAAATAAAGCAAAAATAAACGAACTAATCCAAATCTGTCCACATTAACGAAGAAAATGAACTAAAAATATATGAATCACTTTGAGTCTGTCCACATCGACAGAAAATAAAAAATAAACGAACCAATCATAGATAGTGAAGATAGATGTGCATTAAAATGGAGGGAAGACAAAAGTTGTTAATCTTACAAAACGTTCACAGTACAAAGGTGTATCTCAGTCCTCGCGCTCACAATCCTTGCTATGACTTTCACTTCTCGGAGTGACCCGAGACCTACCGTGGTTCACTAGGTCGTTACCCAGATTTGACGGCAGATGTTGCGCATGTTTCAGAGCAAATTGGCATGCAGACTGAATTTCGCTCTCATCTCTGAGCTACAGAGCATACATGAGTTTGAATACATATATAATGCGTACAAAACATAATGTTCTCGAAAACTTTTGCAGCTCGTTTTTGATAATTCTCAACTTCTAGCTGCTTCAACAGATTTCTTAGGTTGCGTTCATACTGATCCGGAAGTTCGGGAACAATTTCAGCACAGCGCTCGACCTGAGCGCTATGCTGGAACTGTTTCCTTACTTCAAAATAGTATGAACGCAGCCTTAGACGCTGATCTCGCTTAAGAGAAATCATCTATTAGGTTGGCTAATAAATAAGTCCGGTCGCTTTTGCTGCTCTTACAAGTGCTTGTAATTTTGTCCAAATTAAAATTTTGTCCGTTGTTTGGTATCTCTGGAAAGAGCACATCGATGGAAATTGTATTATAGTATAATATCTGTTTGAGTTGAACTCATCTTCCAAAGGAAAAAATCCGCAAAAAAGTGAGAAACCTCTTTTCTCATAGTGAATTCCTCAAATATGAGGGAATTTGGTTTTTTTCATTCCTCAAATGTGAGGAAATTTGGTTTTTTTGATTAAAAAAAATTCAAAGTGGCAGATCACAATTTTCATTGCTATTCACTAAATAGGGAAAACTGCTCCGTATCCAAATACAGAAGCGCTGTTCTCTACATCCATTACAGCGTGAAAACGAAGCTTAGGAAGTCCAAGATTTGGGCTTTTGGAATTTTAGCCATGTTGAGGCATGACTGTCTTTACTGGTGATAGGCCCGTAGTAAAGCTCGATCAGTTCAGGCGAACTGAACAGGTGAACGTAACTTTACCCATCAGTTGAGCGTGAGGTGAACTGATGACCGCCCACCTTCCCATGCTATATGCATGGTATGTGAACTGATAGTTGACCGTCCGTCCACCTGCTGCAGTCAACTCTTGCACATCAGTTCACGTTCAGTTAAACTGAACGTGAACTGATGTTAGACGAATGCAAATAGTGGGTAAAAAAGGAGACGCAGACAAGACTCCCGTAAGTTGTTCCTGAGTAACTTACGATACACACCAATTTGCCTAACACTGTAGACAAAATCGGCGCAAACCTCCACAACCGCGCCCGAAATGGAGAGGATCGATGAACAGCTGATTTTGGCGAGGAAAACAAAAAACAACAACAAATTATTCTCTTTTTTGTAAACTTTACTGAATTTTTAGAGCTGTCCAAAACGAGAACTCATTTGTTTATTTTATTAAATTCACGCTGCAACCATTTCGTTTCTTCGTAAAATT